GGGGGGGGGGGGGGGGGGGGGGGGGGGGGGGGGGGGGGAATGGAGCATATATGAATTCAGTGGGTAGAGGCCACAGATGCTGCTAAACATCCTAGGATGCCCCCCCCCAAGAGAGAATCACGTAGCCCAAAATGTCAACTGATCCTAAAGCTGGTCAGCTTTTCTAAGTTGAAAGCACTGGGTTCCTTCACTTCTCTGCCCCACCCCCCCACCTCAGCCTTTTGTATTTCTTTTTCTTTTCTTTTCTTCTTCTCCACAAACTTCATGACTATTTACTGGGCATTCAGGGATAAAATGGTTTCTGGCCTTGAGAAATGCCCTCAGGCAAGACAGTGAGAGCGGAAGTCCCAGGAACACTAAGTGCACCTTACCTTGGTCCCACCTGTGGTCCCTACTGGGGTCCTGGGAAACAGGATGAGCCTCTGATCTGCAGAGAGAAAATGAGGGGAGGGGGCAGAAGAGAGGGGGTGTGACCGGGGCGCCGGGGAAAGAAAGGAGGAGAGGGTTGCCCGCCCCTCTTCCCCCCCCCACCAGCACCTACCCCCAGCCGCTGCGTTTCTAAGCCCAACCACCTCACCTGCTTGTCCTCCCCCGCTCCATCTCAGCCACTGTCCGCCTCTTCCCCCTACACACCAACAGGGGGCAGCAGAGAGCAGCTGACAGAGCCCAAAGCGGCAGACCCAACCTGGGAACCATCCCATCACCTAGACTGCAGAGCGCCCTTTGGCTTCGGTCCCAACAAGTTGATGCTCTGAGACCCTCCTCCTCCACCAGCCTCTCCCCACACCCTCGACCCTGGGAGAGCTCTCCCCCCACCCAGCGCACCGCACAACCTGCGCCAACCTGGCCGCGGATCAGGTTCCGTCTGGTGACTCATCTGATGTTACTGCCTTGCTGTGTGGTTTCTCAACCTTTCAAACGAGGCTGTTTTTGCCTCGTCCGGCTGACTGGCCATCCCCTGAGGTGGGAGCTGTGCCCTGACCCCTGCGGTTTCCCCCAGGCCCCGGGCCAGCCCTGTTCCTGGAGTCAGTGTTCAGGTCCGTGGATTGATGGAGGAGGCACGGCTGTGTCCCCTCGTTCGCGCCCTCGAACCAGCCTCGCAGCCAGTGCCATCACCGCTTCATCTTTATGGGTGAATAGCTGAGGCTCAGAGGCATTAGACATCTTGGCCAAGATCTTAAAGCTAGGAAATAGTAGACTTGGAAATCCAAGTCGACGTTCTAGACTCTACCACACACCCCATGGCCGTTCCAGTCAGAGATGGCTGTGGTGGGGAGGTAACGGGGCTTGGTCAAGAAGGGCTTCACAGAGGAGGTGATGTGTGAGCAGAGTGTTGAGAGGCACGAGGATGTGGTGGGAGCTGGGGTCAGCTGGAGGGGTGCGGTTTCAGCTGATGCTGCCCGTAGGTCCATGGAATTTAAGGCCTCAGCTGGGTGGGGCTGGAGGCGTGGGACAGGGCCAGGTCACCCCCTGGGGAATGGGGAGTCGCTCGGGGCATTTGAATGAGAGAGAAGGATTCGATCATTTGTGCTTTAAGAGCAACCCCCAGCAGCAGCACGGAGGGCAGGCTGGAGGGATGCGGGGCGGTGCGGAGATGGGGAGCGATGCAGCAGGATGCAGGGAGGTGGCATCAGAGGACCGGAAAGAGGATCCATCCATGTGGCAGAGAAGGCAGTGACGGGGCTGGGTGGGGAGGGGAGAGGGAGAAGCTGGGAATCCCTTCTGGGCTTCCCACTAGGTGGTGGGCTGCCCCGGGGCAGCCCGGGGCTTTGGAGGCAGATTATGGGAAGGCTTAAGGAGTGCGTTGGGTTTGAGGTACCTGATGTATATGTGGATACATTTGGTTCTAGATTAGGGTTCGATGGCTCATTGGACAGCCATCGGCATAAAGGGCCCTTAGCAAAGTCGTAGCTGAAATCAAGGAAGAGAATGAGGTCTCTACCGCTTGGGGGCGGCTGGTTCCCTAAGTCCCTCCCTCTGTGCAGAATAGCACAGCCTTACCTGTGTCCCTAAGCTACCTACTCCAGGTTGACAGGAATGACCCACGGTGGGAAGGTTCAGGGAGGTGATGAATAAATGCTTTCTTTTTCCTTTCTGTACCATTGAGAGTTCACGAATACCCGCAGCTTCCACAGCCAGGCGGCCCCTTCCCAGGGTCACATCTGATTCGTGAGCATTGTCCTATGGAAGGCTCCTCTCCTCTTCATTATACCAGCTGTCTGTGTTCCTCTGGATCTGCCATTGGCTTTTGAAGTTTCCAGCTCTGCGTGGAGCTTTCCAGTGGGACCTGATGGCTTACTACAGTTAGATGTTCTTTCTGTTGCCTGATGAGGACCAGGCTGGCCTTTCTGCCCTGGGATCTGGAGGCAGTACCTTCTGCTGACTCCAGAACTCTTCTCCTGGGCACGTAGCTGACCGCTCAAAGGCATCAGGCCTAGTTTGAATTTTTTTTTTTTTTTAAGAATCACCTTGACTGATGATGTTAGGCAATAAGATTCTAAGATCAAAAACAGCAAGCCCCTGCAAAGAGAAATTTACCAGCTTCAGACTTTGCACATTGCTATTTTCATGGGTGCATTTCCTACCACCTCCTTATAAAGAAAGTCCCCAGGAAAGGGACATCGAGATATTTGACAGATAAATGAAAGACAAGAATGGAAGGGAATTGCAGTTACTGGATGCCGGTCCCTGTGCTGAGTGCTTCACAGAGGCCCCTTGTCCTGGTGATGACTCTAGAACTAGAGACTGACTTTCCACATTTTATGAATTAAGAAATGGAGGCTCAGAGAGGTTGAAGACCTTATCTTGCATGAGTTAGATTGAATCATTCCCGGGAAAGAAAGAAGAACAGGTAACTCATCCAACTCATTGATGCAGCTAGTAATGTGCAGAGTTCAGGTTCGAGCCATTTTTCGGGTGAGAGAGAGCTGAAGTTGTGTGGGTATGCTAGCCTCTTACATTTTCTGCTGAAGGAGACACTGGCCAATAGGTAGAAAATACCAAAATTGAAGACACGGTGAGGCATTATCACCTGACCAGTCCACCATCCCGCTCTAATGGGTATTCTCTAATTTCTCCAAACCCAAGTAATTACATCTTTGGGTAAGAAAGGAACCTCTGGTAGGTGCTGAGGACAGACCCATGAATTCTTATTCTTTTGTCTCCTGGGAACACTTTTCACTTTATTATTTAGTAGTAGGAACACTTCGGGGCAGCACCGTGCAGGCAGATGGGTTGGCTAGTTTGACAAAAAGCCCTGTGCACAAATGCTAGAAAAATTAAAGAATAGATTTCATCATCCCAACCCCTTCTGACCTCACTTAACTCAACAGCAAAATCTCAGGCATGTGGATGAATTCGGGGGAAGGTTTTTACCAATTAATGAAAAAAAAAGCCCTTTAATTTTAGAATCTCTTGGAAGAGATCTGTTTTTAAAATTTCAAGTACCTAGAATTGGGCACACACGGAGTGTTGTTGCCAAGTGGTGGCTTTGCTTAGTGAATAATGACCACATCAAAACACCAGGCTCAGTATGTTGTGCTCCGTTTCTGGTCCCATAACAGTTACATCAGTTTGGTGTCAAATACATGTTTCTAAAGAAGCCGAACACTGTTTTCTCTTACTTAGATAAACAAACTCCTTGATGTCTATTTATAACTACTTGTTAGTGAGTCTCTTGTAAGCTATACAACGTGGTTGGAACCCGAAGGAGATGTTTTGCAGGTTGGCCGCTGAGTAAAGACTGTTTTGCTCAGGGTCTCAGTATCTCCTACCCAAGCCCCTACTTGCAGTTCTGAATTAGTATTTTTCAGAAAGTCATCCAAAGCTGTCCTGCGGCTGCTGTAGATTATGTACGGAGAGAGCCGCTACCAGCATTGCTTCTTTCTGTGAAGGAGCCTGGCCTTGAGAATTAGCCAACGGGCCCATTTAACTCTGCTTCCTAGCTCATTTATCCAAGGGCTCGATGCACCACTGAAAACCTTCCTATAACAGAAAGCCAGTGTTTGGGGGGCATTTGGTTTCAACTTGCTTGTGTTTGAACATTTATATTTATAATCGTGCTAATCTCTAAGGGACTCAAATCACATTAAGAGCTTTATCTAAGGCTGCCAAGGAAATTAGCATGTATCCACATGACTGGGAATGATGAGAAATTGGGTTGGGCCTACAGAAATTTAATAAGCTCCGACTTTCATTTCAATTATCTTCTCCATGAGATTTTGTTTTTAAACCCACGCAGTCAGGCCTGGGTACACATTTCCCCCTCTGCCTCCGGCTCGTGCCGTCACCCTCACCCCAGCCCCTCACCGCTGTGTCCAGCTTGTGTGGATGAACTGGCCCACTTCGTCTCCTTCTCTGAACCCCCACGGCCCGTGTCTGCATGCCTGTTAGGTCTTTCCTTTCTTGTATGGCTCCCTCCTGGCTTCTCACAGACTTTTCTCCGACTAGAGGGAGAAGAATGTTTGTGAGTCTCTCTTGAGTTCACCCCAGAGTTTAGGTCAAGCTAGTCACATAACGGTACCCAGTCAATAATGTGGGATGGACGGTTAGTCAGGCAGGGGGTGGACTGGCGTGGTGGGAGGCACATGGGCCAGAGGGGAAAGTAGCTTAGGGTCACCACAGACACTGTCAGCGTGGGGAAGGGAATTTTGGGGGGAAATCTAAACAGATGAATTTGATCAATCAGGCTAATTTATACAAAAAGCACAAGAAGGGGAAAGTTCCCTGTGAGCAATTGGAGAGACGAAAGAGAAGCAGGGAATGCCCCTGACTGCATTACAGAAGGGGAAACCAAGATGACTTGTCAAGTAATTTGTTGAAGCTAAAATGAGAGCTCAATGTAGTCAGGATGAAAAGAGGCTGGCTGGCCCCTTTGCCTGCTCGGAGGAGACATGGCTTGGTACTCTTTGAAGAATGTCGCCTGTCAGTCTAGAAGAATATGACTGGAGTCATCCAGTGGAGGTTGGAGAGTCAATCCCCACTGTCCCAACCAGAAGAACTCCTTCCCAAACATCAGATTTTATGTTGCAGCCCGACCTTCCTAGAACTGTTATTGCCAGAAGTTCTGCACAATGACTTATGACTAAGCTTTAGTGTTTCGTTTTGTTTTGTTTTGTTTTGAGGCATTCCTATGTAAATTTACCTCTCTATCCCTACATGGAGACTGCTGGTTTATCAGACTGAAACAGTTCACCAAAGGCCAAGTGGAGTCCGATTTTAGAATTTGTTCCAGGTTCTTGGGTACAAAGAAGGCTTAGTAATGACAGTTTCACAGCCTAAGGGGAATGTAACTTGAGAGAAGAACAATAGGAGCAAAGACAAATATGAAGGGAAAGGATGATAGCAAATTAAGAGGGATAAGGGAAGGGGGAAAAAAAGAGTAGATATACATAGCAATAAGAGAAGAAAAATCATTACAATGCCCAGAGGACCAAAAAAGGTGATTTTTCTGTTTTTCTTTTTTTTTTGGTCTTTGGGCCCTACTGCATCCACCACTGTTGCTAGAAGGTGAGAGAGCAGGTGCTTTTTGCGGAACCCACTCTTGAAGTAACATTGCTGAAGGGAGAGGAGAGGCACCATAGCAATCTTTCTACCAGATCTCTGTTCTATTTTTTGTTTTTTGTTTTGTT